ATTGTTAAGCTTATTATGAGTTCTCATCTGGAGCTTTTTCCACTCCTCAAGCTCTATAACTGTGCCCTGCCACTTATCTCTCTCTACATGTAAAGGCAGATTGTTACCTCACAGACAACAGAAGGAGTTCCATATCATAAAATATGCCTGGCCTTTTACAGGATTTATCCAGCATAACTTCTACTTTTATTAACTCAAAGTCAACTGATTTAGGTTTTTAGTTACTTCTACAATAACTACCTATCATACAAAATGTCTTCATCATGGGAGGACATCCCATCACATTCACAAGTGACGGTCGAACACAGTGGGAGGGGATTATACAGTGTGCACAAGAAGGGTTGAGAATCTCAGGCTCTTTCTAGAATTCTCCTTGTGATAGAAGCTTCGGATGCTGAGTTGAGTACTTAAAAATATGTAATTAATAAAAATAACTCTATGTTTTATAAATAGAACTAGAGGGGCTAGGGAGATGGCTCAGAAGTTAAGAGCACTGGCTGCTCTGGCAGAGGACCCAGGTTCAGTTCCCAGCTACCACATGGCAGCTAATAGGCATCTATAAGTCCAGTTCTAGAGGATCCAGCACCCTCTTCTGACCTCTACAGAAATTGCCCAAGATGCACAGGCATTGCACAGATGCACTTACATACATACAGGTAATACACATACATATAAAACAAAAATATTTTAAAGAGGAGTGGTACTAGAATAAAACAACTAGACAATGCTATAGCAATCACTTAAAAAAGATTTAGGAGTCTTGAATACCTAAGGCATTAAAACTCAATAGACTTATTGGAATAGGTGTGTTTAATAACAATGTCTGTGGATGTGATGGGTTGTCCTCCCATGGTGATACCATTTTGTATGAGAGGTAGATATGGCAGAATTAACTAACAACCCTAGCCAGTTGACTTTGAGTTAATAACATATAAATACATTTAGAAATAATAAAATGAAGTTGACTTGATTGCATTAGTTACTTTTTTGTTGCTGCATTAAAACACCATGACCAAGGCAGCTTGTGGAAAAAGATGAGTTAATGTCACCTAAGGATCTAGTTGGATAGGAGTCCATCATGGAAGGAAGGCATGGTAGCAGAGGTGTCCAGAGCAGAAAAATAAGCACTTGCATCTTCAAGAAGACATAGGAAGCACAAAGAGACAAATTGGCATTCCGTATGGTTATATACTGTCAAATCCCATCCTTAATGACATTCTGCCTCCAGCATGTCCACAACCCTTAAAGGTTCCATGACCATCCCCAAAGAACATCATGAACTGGCACCAAGTGTCCAAATGATTGGAGCCTATGGGGTACAATTATTCAAACCATCACAATTATTTAAAATTAATTTCCTTGAAAATAATGCAAGATAATAAATGGAATAACAATAGCATTGGTAATTAGGGCTTGGTTAAAGGGAAAGAATAAGTGATAAGCAATCAAATCCTGATTGGTCCAGGAACAAAAGAGCAGTGATGAGGATGATTCCTGCTATGTCTGAAGAATTCATCAGTAAGCAATTGAACACAGTAGTTTTTTTTGTTTTTTGTTTTTTTTTTCCTGAGTAAGGTAAAAATTGCCACAGAAGTATGAATTAAACTCCCAAAGATATTGCTTCAAAGTTTCTGGATATCAAAAGACAAAATGGTTCTCAATAGGTGGAAGTCAACATGTCAACAGTGAACCTTCATTTGAAGGCTCTTGGGAAAATCACTTTTTCTTGCCTTTTCTGGACTGTGGTTTACCCACATTGCTTAGATGAAGGTTCTTTTCTTCAAATGAACAAAGTAAATCAAGTTCTTATGACATTATTTATCTTAACCTTCCCTTCTATGTCCCTCTTCCAACTTAAAGAACCCTTAGGATTCTGTTATTTTACTACAATAAATTTCTTATCTTTTCATCATAAATTTAATTGATTAGTAAACTTAATTCCATCTGCAAACCTTAATTCCCCTTGTCATGTAATGCAACATATTCACAGCTTTAGAGGATTAAAATACGAATGTTTTTGTGTGTTCATTACTCTACTTTCCATAAACATAGAGAAACGATCTCATACAGTTTGTTATGGTCTTAGTTTATTTAACACATTTTGTTTAAATGTATTGCTCTTATGTTGTTTCATTCCTATGTTAGTACATTCTTTACATTCATTTTCTTAATTCTATATTAGTCTCTATCTAATGAAATTTACTCCATCGGAATATTTGCTACATACCTTTTATATGTGAAAATTATTATACTCTTATGCTGTTGATATTAAAAACAAATTAAGATTCCAAAGTCTTATTATTCAGGACTGAATAAAGTGCAAAACTTTATTCCTGTGTACAAGCCCATTATCACATTATTTTATATTATAATTTGAGTTATTTAGAAAAATTCTTATATTGACAAGAAAAATTATAAACATATATGTTTTAAAGTATTTCATTATCCTTCAAATTTAATAAGATAGACATAACATAATATTTGTCAATATAGGAATTTTTAAAAATCATTGACAATGAAACATTAGTCAGTTAAAATTAAGGTCTACGAGTTAAAGATATCACCAGAAGAATATGTCATTTTATTTTTTTCCATGTTCTATATACAAAATTGAGTGTTTCAATAAAATTTATTGTTTGCAAGGTCAATATTAAAAGCTGACTCAAAGTACAGCTATTGTTGTAGAGTAGGAGTAATCTTTTATTAAATATCTCCTGACACCCTTCCCTCAAAATTTATTTTGAAAATTTAAGTTTAGAGGGAAAATTTATACCTATCGCCAGTTACCAAAAGCATTTGAATTACAAACGTGAAATGCAAACAAATACAATCTCTTTAAGAAAAAAATACAAGAACTTCTTCATTTGTTATTTTTATATATTATTCAACCAGAGTTACATTCAGTTGTGGATTTCTGAGTGCTCATTCTTTCTCATTAGGCCTTTCTATTGTCAAGAACTGGAAATTTGCTTTTTAAATATCTGGGAATATACATGACTCAATTCCCTCAGTCTCGTTCATACTGACTTTCTGTGTTTTTTAGTATCACTAGAGTTGCATGCGAATAGATAATTACATTGAGCATATTCATTCATTTAGTAACTCAGTATATCTATTGGATGTCAGTTCTTGTTGAAAAGATTTGGTTCATCAATGAGAAAAACAAATGGAATAATTTTTCTAAACTGCTTAAAATTTAATGGAGAGAGACAGGTAATGAACAACAGACAGTGAACAGTAAGCCACACATTATGTTAAAATATATGGTAGCTGTCAAAACAACAACAACAAAATAAAAAAACTAAAGAAGGCTATGATCATCTGAAATGTGTTTGGAAGCAAAGTGCAATTTCAAAATCAGTGATTAGTAACAGCGTACATAGTTGTCAATATTTTATGATTCCCTTGTCTATAATTTCCTAAAATTTAAAACATAATTGACTGAAATTAGCTTAGTAAACAATTTTATCTTATGGCTGGCTGCTATGTATCATAACTCCTAAACAGCCATTCCAAAATCATGAACCTGTAGATTATAGATTTATAAAAAAATAGCTAAGCCACAGATCCTCTGTTAAAATTATTCTGTTGATGAGACCTTTACTTTGTGAGATACATTGAGGATATTTACCAAGAGCTTAAAAGGAGATTATGATCATATTGATCCATATATCACCTCACATAAAAGTTACCATGAATAGGAATCATTGATCCCTGGGCAACTGCATAGATTCTTTTTATTAACAGGTCAGATTCAATATCCTTAGCATTATCTGATCTATCCACCAATGCTGCTGCCAGTGCAATTGAAAAATTTTAGAATGGTAAGCATAACGTAACAACCATGAACAAATTAATGATGTGTCATGACTGAGGGATTTTTTCAATTCTTTTGTTAATAATATATATATATATATATATATATATATATATAGAATTTTTACATTTCTGCAACAACTGATATATATATATACACACACACACACATATGGGATTTGAAGAAAGTTTAGAATCTGCCATTTGAATTTATGCAATACAGACACATCAAAATGGAGATTTCCTGTAATATCAACCATTAATAAATGCAATATAAAGAGAATGCAGACAAGACTCTTTTTTACCCGTAATCACATAGACTTATCAAGATAGCGTTTCTCCCTCAGGATTGAAATCTCCTCATGAGCATCCCTTCCACTGCCACAAGAACTGTTTCACCATTTCAATGATTTGACATTCACCTTGAATGCCTTGATCAGGTGATCGGTTTACCAGATATAGTATTTCCCTACAGGGCTGATCATAATCATAAATTCTTTAAATATTTTACTTAGCCCTATGCCTGAAAAGGTGTGACAGATTTTAACTCTCTGTCCGCTCCATCGTGAAGTTATATTCAGTTATTCTTATTTTTTAATTTTTATTTATTATTTTTATTTTATGTGTTATGAGTGTATTACCTGCATGTAGGTTAGTGTACCCGTGTTTTGAAATTCCCTCGGAGGTCAGAAGAAGCTGTCCTCCCCTGGAACTGGAGTTACGGACAGTTGTTAGCTGCCATGCGGGTGCTGGCTTACGAACCCGGGTCTTCTGAAATACAGTCAGTGTTCTTACCTGCTGAGCCATCTCTCCTGCCCAGTTATTCTTATTTTGAATGTATAGGAAAAAAAATCATTGCCATTCTCTATTAGCTTTAGGGAATACACACTCTTAAGTTCAGCATTGCTACATATTCTTCATTAATACAACCCACTGTAGATGTGCATAAATCTGAATGTGGTCTAGGGCTAGTGAATATGTCAAGATGGGGGAAAATGCTGTAGAGTCTCTAATTCAGACTTACTTCAATGTAATATTCCACTAATATCCATAATTAATAGGACACTTTCTAACTGTACTTTGGTTGGCCTGTTTCCAGCCACAAGAATTTCATTTGCTATAGGAAGGTTAAAGGATAAACATGCCCATTTAATGTTGTCTTCTTCCTCATGTACACATTATTTTTAAATATGGAAATTGGCATGAATTTTCATGTCATCTTGGGCAGGAACCATGCTAGTCTTCTCTGTATCATTTCAATTTTAGTCTATGTGGTGCAAAGCAGCACTCGTGAGGTTTTTTTTTTTTTATGACAGTAGATGTAAACATTGATGAGAGGTGATGTATCTCAGGTGGAAAAACTGCTTGGAAATTCCACTACAAGCCTTTACTTCTATTCTGAGCTGCTGCTTCTGCTCTAGGATAAGTGACCACTAGAGTATACTAAGGGTCAATTTCAGTTCATAACTATTTGTATCCACAAGAGACTACTGCTAATGGCCTGATGTAATTCATTTGCTGGTCATGCAGTGCACTGTGTCCTTGAGGAATTTTACCCTCCTGCATTTTCAAATAATTTTTCTCCTGTCACTATCGAATTCCCTCTTTAATGTTAGCTATTTCATTTGGTGAAAAGAAATTAGTGATGTTTACGATTGCCAGCATATGTCATGAAAATTCTATATCCAATTATTCTTTACATATGATAACCAACACAATTAATATAATTTAGGCTCAACGCTGTATTGCTATTTAATCTTGAAAATATTTTTTTTCTATTTATTTAGTGTGTGTGGTGTCTGTGTGTGGAGTATGCACACATATGTGTGTGGGTGATTGTGCTTGCACAGAAGAGAGTGTCGGGTGCTCAGCTCTATTTTTCCTTGCCTTCTTACCTTGACAGACTCTAACAGAATCCAACATTATGCTGGGTGTTTTTTGTTGTTGTTGTTGTTGTTGTTACTATTTTTCAATATCCCCAGATCCTACTTTATCTTTTCCTCTAAGTGGTCAGAGAATTTCTATAAACAAGTATCACCTTTGAATTCCCTTTTACCCTACCATAGGGATTCATTTTTATATTAATATAGTAAAGCCATTGACTATAGCCCCTGCTTTATAAAACATCAAATAACCCACTTACAATGGAAAATTCACTTTTATGCTATTTTTGATAAATATCGTGTGTCTCTGTCCACTGTATAGACTTGCCTTTCCCATTTCATCAAACTTTTCTAAATGTAGTCAGAGTGTTAATGATTTCAAAGGGAAAATCTGGTCTCAGTTTAAAATCTTCCATCTGTGTACTAGTGAACTTGTTTTACCTTGAATAGGCAAATGCCATAGAATTCAAATCATCCCATATTAATGAAGAAGTCCTGTGACAGCTGTAGGATTGAAACTCTTGCCAATTAAGCTACCTTTTCATGTGTGTAGTAATAGACACCTGAGTTTTATTCTTGAGCAAGCTCTTGTTAATATTTTTTCTGTATCAGTAGCTTTGGTGCACTCTTTTCTGTTGGCAGAGATAATAGTAAAAACATGATTCTGTCCAAAGAATTATCTGATATTCTGTTGATAGGAACCATTTTGACAAGTATCCAGTACAAAGATACAAGCTGTTCTTTAAATGACTGATTCTAAGTCTGGAACCTTGATTAACAATATTTTGTGAGAGACTAGTTTGCGTATGTTCTAAATGCAGATATTTCAAGGCGACCCGAGCTGCTGGGTGACAAATTCTGGAGTGACTTCCTATACCACCAGGTCTGTAATTATGCAGAGCTTGCTTCTGTCTTAGTGCCAGATTTCTTTCCTAGGACTTTGTAATATGATTCAATAGGATTTCTATGTGAAGAATATAATTTTCCCACAGATAAAGTCTACTAGTTTCTCAACTTCTTGCTTATGTATGTCATCTTTGAAACATAGTGAATCCTAATCAAATAACAAGTCTGGTTGCTCAAAAATAGCTAATCATACCAACCATTGAATATACCTCTGTTTTCTCACAGACAACACCAGATAAAGTATGTATCTTTTCAAGTTTCTTCCTCTGAAGAAGCAATTAACATGGTATCACCAATGTAGTATAATAATTTATTTAAATGGTTAATAAGTCCACATACCCTCTCCCAGATTATGGTAATAATCAGATGAATGCAAGAACTTTACAGAGAACAGTGGATATAAAATAATTCTTATTTCATGAGAAAGAAAGAGTGAGATTAAAAAGAAGGCACTGGATCCAGACTATGACATCTAACAAATTATCAGGTTGTAACGTTTACATGCCTTCTGTTCAAGTAGTGTGTTTATCAACAATAGTATGATTGTCAACAGCAGCAGAGTAATCCCTGTAAAGGAAATCAAGAAAAGAGGAATCTCTGTGTGAACAGAAAAAAGTTATTAGCCCATGAAGAAGTAAACCAGGAAAAACAATTTAAAGAAAACATATATCTTTAATGAATAACAGTGTGAGTCAATCATTTCCGAATCTTCAGATTCTGGCCCAGTAACTGAGATTTTTACTACTTGTAGAATATATTCTTATCCCTTTATTAAATCTAACCACATTACTAAATAAATTCCATATTTGCCATTTTTGCTGTGTTTCAAGAGGGCAGAGGGAAGAAGGCAATCACATTATCTGACATCACCTCAAATACCTACATTTGATAGAATATTTTTGCATAAGTACTCAGTTTCTCACAGATGCAGAAACATGGTTCCTTCTGTGTTAAGCAATAAGAGCAGTTGGTGCAGTAATAAAGATGTACTGAGATGCAAAAAACTGAAGTTGAGTTGTCAAACTGAAGGGCACATGCCAACTGCTGTCTCCCGTGTACTCAGGAGTTAAGCTATATTCTGTCTACAGCACAGCGTTCTCCACAAAGAATATATTACACTACTGGAGGGAGCATCACATTCCTGGCATGTCGATGAATTTTATTATCAAGAAAGAAAAGCCCTATGATTCCCTCCTTCATCCCTTTCTTCCATTTTCCTGTTTTAAAAATAATGGAAGTGAAAAGTAAAATTTTCAAAGTATTTTACTTGAGTTTTGCATCAATTTTTTACAGTTTCCTTAATGATAATACTAAATTATATGAACTTATTTGTGAAATCCTATAAACAATAGATAATATGCATTCTTCCATTTAACAATACTATATTTTAAAATTGTGACTGCATGCATATACATGTATATCTTTAAATGTACACATGTATCCACATTCTCAAACATTATACATATATTTAATCTCATGCCAAGGGGTTCTGTAGAATCAGAATAAAAAGTTTTTTCCAATAATAAAGAATTATTAGCTCAAGGTTTCCTTTCTGAATTTCATACCAACTGAAAATAAAACAGTACTTCTAAGATTTCTTTTTTAATAAAAAATATGAAAATTTTAGACTGAGGAGCCAACATGGATTCATCACCAAAATCTGTTTTAAATTGAATAAAGTTACATTAGTGAGAGAACAGATAGACACAATGTTCGAGGCTCCCTTTTTCTTTGTTATGTTGGTTCCCAGAAGTGGGGGATGAAATGGATTTTCTGTGCAAATGACTGCTGTGGAAATGTACTCAGGTAAATTTTGAATAGGTTAGAAAGAATACAATAATGGAAGAAGATGAGCAAACCAGTGTCCTCAGCTGAGGTCTAGCTGTGTGGTGATCACAAGAAAAGTTCAGTAATATCAAAAGTGTAAAACAAGCGGCCTCACTGGAGGAAAAGAGCATTTTCTTGGTGGTCCGAAGCAGTCACAACACAATCCATGTTCCTGGGATGGAATCACCTCCTGGGCAACTCTGTGCAGCTGCAGCTGTAGATGATTTAGGAAACCTTCTGGTTAAGAGCCCAGCATTGCGCTATTAAACAACATTCATGTCATATGTGGCCTCAAATGTGTTCTAATTCATGTGTCATCACTTGCATTCTCTCATGTTTGGCATTTGGAAACTTTTCCAGTTATAACCTGTGTCCTTTGAGATACTTTGAGATATTCCCCTTCATTCCTTCCTCTCCCCTCTCCTTCATGTCTTCTCCCTCTCTCCTTCCCATTTTCATTCCCACCATTTGTTCTCTCCTCTTCTTTACATCTTTCCTGCTCTTTCTTTACTAAGTTCCTCCTTACTACTAATATAGTGTAATGCTCCAGGAGCATCTTTTATATTTCCATTCTCAGTCTTAGAATTTCCACTGGCTTCCCCAATTACATTTATTATGGGATGGTAATAAAAATCGAGATGTAAGGAGCTGTAAAGATGATGGCTCAGCAGTTAAGAGCTCTGGCTTCTGTTGCAGAGGACCCGGATTTGGTTTGCAGCATCTACATGGTGCCTAACAACTGTCCATAACTCCAGTTTCAGGGGATCTGACACCCTCTTCTGACCTTCACAGACAATGCACAAGGTGGGTGTAGTTACATATATGCAGGTAGTATATTTATACACATAAAATACTGAAATAATATAGTAAATAAATTATTTTTTAAAAGAAAACAACTCAATTAATATACGGGCTTTGAATCTGAACAGAGAATTCTCAAAAGAAGTATTAAAAATAGCTAAGAAACACCTGAAAAAATGTTCAACATCCTTACTACTTAGTGACATTCAAATCAAAACTACTTAAAGTTTTCACTTACACCTTAAGACAGGCTACGATCAAGACAACAGCAGATGCCAAATGCTAGAAAGGACGTGGGGAAAGGGGAATGCTCATTCACTATTAATGGGATTGCAAACTCATGTACTCAGTATGGAAAGCAGTATGGAGAACCCTTAAAAAAATGAATCTATCATATGATCTGGTTATACCACTCTGGCGTATACTCAAAGTACTCATCCTACTGCAGAGATAATTGTACACCCATGTTTGTTGCTACTGTTTTCAAAATAACTAAGAAATAGAAACAATATGTGTGTCCTTCAACTGATAAGTGGATAATGAAAATGTGGTATATTTACAAAACGAAGTTCTACTCAGTGGTAAAGAAAGATGAAGTTATGAAATTTATAGATAAATGAATGGAACTAGAAACTGTTATAGTAAGTGAAGCAACACAGACTCAGAGAAACAAACAATGTAAGTTCTCCCCCATTGGTGGATTTAGCAACAAATCTTTGTATGTATTTGTCCTGATGTAATGTCAGGAGGCAGGAAAATGGAAATAAATCATGGCTGTAAAGGGAAAGAAGAGGCCCAAGAGAAAGGAATAGTAAGAGACAACTATTACTAAGAGGGAAATGGGTAAAATGGTAATATTTAACTTGGAGGG